CTACTACTACTACTACACGAATACTACGACTACTACTACTATTACTGTTACTACTACTAGTCTGTGTAGCAGTAGTACTACTTCTGCTACTACTACTACTACTACTACTACGACCACTAAATACTGACTACTACTAGCTACTATCTATACTACTACCTACTCTACGACTACTAACTAACGACTACGACTACGACTAACGACTACGACTACGACTAACGACTACTACACACACTACTACTAACTACTACTTAACTACTACTACGACTACTTACTACTACGACTACTACTACTACACTACGACTACTACTACTACTACTACTACTACTACTACTACTACTACTACTACTACTACTACTACTACTACTACTACTACTACTACTACTACTACTACTACTACTACTACTACTACGACTACTACTACTACTACTACTGACTACTACTACTACTACTACTACTACTACTACTACTACTACTACTACTACTACTACTACTACTACTACTACTACTACTACTACTACTACTACTACTACCTACTACTACTACTACTACTACTACTACTACTACTACTACTACTACTACTACTACTACTACTACTACTACTACTACTACTACTACTACTACTACTACTACTACTACTACGAATCGTTCCTTCACAGGCCCCAGGAAGGCCCCGAAAGAGGCCCGGGGCGCCCGGAGGCCACAGAGTCCACGAACCGATACCGGATTCAAAGAAACTCCAATCGTTCCTATCTTGGCCACCCGAGGGCCCAGCGGCGCCCGAGGTCAGAAAGTCAAGGAATCGATACCGGTTACAAGTCAACTGTCATCGTTGCATCCCAAAGTCCCCCTCCTCGTCCTCCTCGTCCTCCTCCTCCTCGCCCCCCCCTGTCCTCCTCCTCCTCTTCCTCCTCCTCCTCCTCCTCCTCCTCCTCGGCGTTCCCGCAAGCGCAACATTATATGCCTGTGGGCATCACAATAGCGCGAAGCGCGCGGGCAGCGCCTGTGTGGGCCCCACAACAACCTGCGCGCACGATGCGCCCCTACGAACCACACGCGTGTGCCTACGCACACTGCAAACACGCTGTCGTCGCACTACGAGCATCATACGTACCTATACGCTACACATCAGGCGCTGATGCGAAGAGGGTGGGTGGGGCGGCGGCCGTTATGTCATGTACTGGGTGGGTGGGTGGGTTGGAGGCCACATGACGCGCATTATGTGTTTGACTAAAACTTGAGCTCCAGAAAGGGGCCAAACTCATTGATTTCCCATAGGTGTTTGACGTATTTTGGCAGTTGCTTCGTTTCGTGTTTCTGACGGCCCAAGACGGCACCAAAGATCGCCCCAAGAGGCCTCCAATGATGGCTCCATGTTTGTTTTGTGGATGACGCGCCCCTGATGCCTCAAATGATGGCCCCATAACCAAAGTCCAAAACTGTCCCAAGAGGACCCCAAGGCGGCCCAAAAGGCTTCCAAGACGCCCAAGGTGGCCTCCAAGACGACCCTGAAGCGCCCTGAGAGGGCCCCAAGTCGGCCCAGAGAGGCCCCACAGACGGCTTCCGACGTCGTCAGACGGGCCAGGAACGCCCTCGGATGGCCAAAGAGCCTCCCAGGGAGCCCACACGGCCCCCAAGAGGCCCAAGGAAACTCCCAAGAGGCCGCCCAGACGCTCCTAGGAAGATCCCAGGAGGCCCCAAGAGTGCCCAGATTGGTCCCAAGAGGCCTCCTCCACCTCAGATGGCCTCCCTCTTCTCTTTTTCTTGTTATTCTTCTTCTTCGTCTTCTTCTTCTTCTTATTATTCTTCTTCTTTCTCCTCCATGTGCTCCTAGGCCGAGCTCTGGCAGGCCGCAATGCTCGGCCACATAGGCACTTCCAAAAAGGAGGGGACGGCGACTTCGATACGCTGCCCCCTTTGGCTTGCCACAGGGATGCTTGGCGTGCCAGACCTTTGAATTCATTTTGGCCTTTCCGAAAAGTTCAAATTGACCTTCAGCGACAGTGAAGGACATTCATCCACCTCTAAGACGCACAAGACGGCCCAACACGTCTCCGAGACGGACCAAGGCGGCCCCACGAGGGCCTCAAGACGTGTCGAGATGGCTGCAAGACGGCCTCAAGAGGCCCCCGACAAAAACCCACAAACACTTCAAAAGGCCCTCCGGTTCTTCCCTTTCCGGGCTTCCGACAGCCCAAGACGGTCTCAGAGGCTCCAAATATAGTCCAAAGGGAACCTTTGGAGGAGAAAGAGAACGATGCGAAGGAGAAGAGGGAGGAGAAAGAATACGATGTGGACGATAAAACAAATCCCTCCCTGACCCAGCTTATCCCCGTGCCATACCCTCAAACACAACTCATACCGCAACAACGACCCCCGGAACGGCCTAAGTGGCCATTCCGGGGCTGGGGCTGCGACCAAACCCGCTGGACCAAATGACATGCCGCATCCGGCCGCAAGGGGCCATACCAGACAGGGCCAGGCTAACAGGGGAGCATGAGGATGCGGGACTTCGAAGGAGGATCCCTTCGCTTCAAACTTCGGGGCCTGTTCGAAAAGACGCGCTCTGGCCCTGGGAAAGGGCTTGAACCCAAATGGTCGCGGAGCCTAGGGGTGCCAGCCTTCTTCGGTTCGTTACGCACTGTGCAGCTAGAGCAGGAGGAAAGTCCACCAACCCCAATCATCTGGGCCGCGCTGCCTGGTGCGTGAACCTCCAGGCCGCATCGGCCTGTCCCGCCTCCCTCCCCCGTCCGCACAGCTCGCTCACGGTAAGATCAATATAGTGCTTGTGCACCCACGGTAAGAAGGGGAAGAAACATGATACCAATCTAGACGCAAGTCATTGATTTCCCTTTGGCTGTTCCAGGGTTTGGGCGTTCTCGCCTTTTCCGCTCACAGCCGCTCCGAGACGGCCCAAGAGGCCCCCAAGATCGCCCCACGGCCCAAGAGGCCTCCAAGAGGGCCCCCAAACCCAGCAGGACCCCAAGACATCCCACAACGCCTCCAAGACGGCCCAACAGGCCCCCAAAACGGCTCCAAGAGCGCGCCCAGGCAGGGGACCCGAACGGACATTTCGAGCCCTCGGCCCCGAGAGGCTCTCAGGAGGCCCGAAGAGACTCCCGAGTGTCTCCAGAAGGCCCACAAGGTCCCCATGAAGCCCGAAGATGCCCAAAGGCCCCCAAGAGGCCCCCAAGAGGCTCCCAAGAGGCTCCACAACTCCTTCACAGAGGCCACCGAGAGCCTTCCGACGAGACCCCAAGAGGCATCCCTCTGGCCCTCGTCAGCATCGTCGTCGCCGCCGCCGCCGTTATCGTTATCGTCCCCCTTCAGTATCGTTATCGTACGGCACTGGCCGTTACGGCCTTCGCAATAATTCTACTGCTTGCCCACCCACGGTCAGAAGTGGAAGAAGCATGATACCAGTGTAGACGCAACGACGCTTGCTCGCCTCTATCAACCTGCACGCTAAGGCGTGCTAGAATGCCCAGTGCTGTCTGGCAAAGTCTTTGTCGTCTTCGAAGGGGCCACCCACCTCCTAAGTTGCGCCCAACTGCGCGCATCGCTCCCTCGTCCCGGAGCAATAATCGTCGTAAAATGCGATAGCGTCGCGCTCCCGAGGCCACAACCCGTCGTACATTGCAGCGGATGCGCGCTCCCGATGCCAAGATGCATCCAACACGGCCCAAGATGGGTCCCAGATGGCCCACTTTAGCTCCAAGAGGGCCTCCCGTGGGAACCAAGGTGGCCTTAGAAGGCCCTTCGACTGCCCAAGACGGCACGAAGACGGCCCGACCACGGCCAACAGACACCCAGCAAGACGGCCCAACAGAACCCCAAGGCGGCCTATGAGAGCCTCCTCCTCCGCCTCCTTCCCCTCCTCCTCATCACCACAACCACCACCACCACCACTGCCGCCGCCGCCGTCGTCGTCGTCGTCATCATCATCTTCATCTGCAGCATCCTCCTCCTCATCATCGTCATCATCATCATCAGCGTCATCATCATCATCATCATCATCATCATCATCATCATCATCATCATCATCATCATTATCATCATCATCATCAGCATCATCATCATCATCATCATCATCGGCATCAGCATCATCGGCATCAGCATCAGCATCAGCATCATCAGCATCAGCATATTCATCACCACCACCATCATCAACAGCATACTTGCCATCACCATCACCATCAGCATCAGCAGCATCATCATCATAATCATCAGCATCATTATCAGCATCATCGTCATCAGCTCCACCACCACCATCGTCACCATCATCATCATCGTCAGCATCATCGTCGTCATCATCATCAGCAACACATCATCATCAACATCATCATCATCACCATGACAACCACCACCATCATCATCATCAGCATCATTATCACCGTCATCATCACACTAATCACCAACACAACCACCACCATCATCAACATCACCATCACCACCATAATTACTCATCATCAGTATCAGCATCATCTTTATAATCGCCGTTATCGTTATCATCAGCATCATCAACATCATCCTTATCATCCTCATCCTCCTCATCCTTGCCCTCACCCTCATCCGCACAATCATCATGCTCCTTCTCCTCCTCCTGATCCTGATCATGATCGTGATCAGCATACCATCATCACCACGGATCCCCCAAACCTGAGGACACGAAGTTTTATATTTGACGGCCTCCCGCGCCCACTCGAACAGTCGCCACCTATAATGCTCGGCTGGCACTGTAGCGAGACTTGCCCCAGGCAGCTGGATAATGTAGACCCAACGACGCTTGCTCGAAAGTAACCACAGATTCACCAAATCTGCGACTCGAAATGGATTCTCGTGAGCGGATCCTCCTCGCACGGATATCTAAGAGGTCTAGCCCACACTTCGAAGTCCGTGGGCGTAAAGCTCGAAAAAACAGCGGGGAAAGGAGGTGCCTGTCGTGAAGATGGCAAAGAGAGATAACGTGGACAGGCGAGTGTAAGCTGGCGTGTGCCAAACTCCTCCTTAGTGTACTTCCCGGAGTAAGCCTTGGCGAGCTCCTTGAGCGTCATGGCCTGTCGACTGACTGCAGACACACACAGACACACACACACACACCCTTAATGACTTCGAGTAAGGCGCCAACGGACCAATCTAATCGACAAACTGTCCGATAATACATGGAACTGATGACTACGTACCTCTGCCTGCTTTGAGACTCCTAGCTGCATATGTTCAAACCGGCACCGAGGGTGCACGTTAGCATAACTGCGCTGACTGAGCGAGTCAAGCTGACAGCTTCTTGAGACGGCCGCTCGTCAGCAGGGAAGCCGCCGCGCGCTACATCAACATATAAATAACATCGAGGGAAAGGCTCGCCAACTCTGCTGAGCAACGTCTGTAACCAAGCGGCGCGCAACGTTCAGAGATATTGCTCGTTTGCTTTTGAAAGGCCGTACACTTCAACACTTTGGGAAGCCGATCCCATATGCGAGCGAAGGAATTGGCCAGCCCAGCGTTTCGGCACATATCATACACTATGTGCTTGCACGCACCAGGTCGCAGACAACTTGCCCCGGATCAGTCACACCTTCTCGTGGCGACGAGACGAGTGGACGCTCCTTGTGCGCGGCTCACCGCGCGAAGCGCTTCCACCAGGTGGTGGTCTGCCGCTCGTCACGGCGGGGGGGTCTGGTAGGGCCTGCGGGAGCCGGGCGGCGCACATCCCACAGCTGCCTTCGCAACAAAATAATCGAAATATAAGTGCAGCCCTTCCAACAAGTGAAGATGACATGCTCAGGGTTGCAATCCGCAGATACCATACATCTGCGGACAGCGACGGCTAGATATAGACGGTCCGACAGAAGGCATGAACCCAAGTGTGCGCCAGACCTCAAAGGGGTCGGCAGGCATCTGCCGCTGCTCCCAGCTGCCCCCACGGGCCCCTGAAGGCCGCAGTCGTGCCCCACACGCTCCCTGGGGGCCCCTGGGGGCACCAGAGGCCGACGGAGGCTTCTGGGCGGGGGGGGCCCGCGCAAAACTGCGGGAGGCCTGCAGGTCGCAGTGCAACCCGCTCATGGCGTGCCCCAGGGGTTCCGAAGCGGATCGGACGCAGTGGCACTTGAAGCTCTTTGAGGCCCTGGAGGATCCTGCAGGGGCTCCCGCGCTTTCCATCGGGGGGGGGGCAGCGGGCGGTCTCGCACGCCACGAGGCGACTTCAAAGGCGATTTCTCGAAAACGGTGACATGACCAACCCTCCCCCCGACGAGATGCCGACAAGCTGCGCGGACCAGGCGTCAAGCCACTCGGCAACTCGGCTCTAGATGCTTATTGGCGGTGTGCCGAGGGGAAACGTGAGAAGGAGCAAGCCTTCTCAGAAGGCGGCGGGGCTTCTCAGAAGCACTTTCTCGCCTTCGAGAAACAATGTGACTCCAGAGAAAGCTTCAAAGACTTCTCAGTAGGCTGGAGGCCTACTGATTCTGAGCCCTCAAAGAAAGCCCGCCCCCTCTTCCCTCCCCCATTGGGCGCGCCGCCGAGCTTTGCAAGTCAGCAACTCAACAGCAATGACGTCAGACTTCCAAACTCTGGAATCCCACTCTCGTCCCTCCCCATGCCCCTTCCGGCGACGCCCACAACCTCCGATCCAGCCCAGGATGCATCCCCCCCGAGGCCTTCTTGGTCTCGGGGTCGATGCGCTTCTCGGGAGCCATCGCGAAGGCCTCCGCGGAAAGCGGCGGGTGATGGTCCCGCTGAAGATGTCACGCCTTTCCTGCCCCTGAAATCCGAAGTTGCGAAGAACAATGCAACATCGAGAAAACTCAAGACTGGAGCCCGAGACCCCATCTTTCTGCTGCGTGTTTTGAGCCTGATCGATCTGCGAAGATCCCGGGGCCCGAAACCCTGCGAAGCCGCCAGATGTAAAACAATTGCAACGCTGGGGCCTCAGGGGAGGAGCTGGCAGCCGTTGGGGCCCCATCTCAACTTACCTGGAGGACGCCTTCCGTTCAAAGATGCGACGTGTTGTTCCTTTGTGATACGGGGCCCGCAGAAGCGCCCGATCCTTTTCGCAAGGCTGCTTCTCCCTCACGAGCCGCTGCTTGACGGCCCTGGGACCCAGCGAGGTACGGGGACGCAGTGATCCGGGTCAGTCGGGCTTTGCAAGATCCTGCAGGATCCTGCAAGATCCTTCACACTAGCCCGAGTCAGTGCACGCCTGGCTCTGCAGGATCCTGCAAGATGCGGCTCTCTGCCTGACCCCCGTTGGCATCGACCCCCGTCTCTTCAGCCCCGAACAACACCAGCGGAACAGCGCACAGCTCGCGCCCTCGTGCCGCCCGTTTGGAGACTGGCAGCAGCTCCGGCCCAGGCCGCGACGCGCGAAGCGCGATGACCTTCGCGCCCCCGCGGGTGACCCAGGAAGGCGCCGCGCCCTCCAAGAAGCGGGGGCCCTTCCTGCCTGCACGGCCACCCGCCCCTTCCTGTCATGAAGAAACAGAAGTCCCTGATTCCCCGTCCGTGGTTGAAGACGATGTTCGCCTTCTCGCCTCCTCCGGCCTCTGCAGGCCCCAAGAGGCCCCCCCAGACTGGCTTAAGATGGCCCAGGGGGGCGAGGGGGGGGCCTCTCGGAAGGGGTGGCCCCCCTCGAAAGCCACACGCCTCACGCCCTCCAAGAAGAGGGGATCCTTCCTGCCCGGACGACCACCCGCCCAGCTCTGCCCGTCTCCCAGGAGGCCCAGAGAGGGGCGAACCAAAAACAGCATCGAAACCGTACGTCTTCCATCATTCTCCCACACCCACGTCCTCCTTCATATTCCCTCTCATCCTCGTCCCTTTCCTCCCTCTAGGGAGCCCACAAAAGACGTACGCGCCCAACTATGTACCTGAGCACGGCCCCTCGATCCGCGAGACCGGCCGCATGATACGAACATTCGCGCAATGCGTACTCTCGAAACCAGCGTGGATTCATGTACGTGTACGTCCTCCTTTCGCTCCTGACCCTCCTCCTCCCTCTCGTCCTCCTCCCTCCCCCTCCCTGCCCATCCTTCTGCGCACCGTCAGTCTTGCCAGGCGCGTGCGGGCGCCAACGGTCCGCGCCCCCCGCAGCCTGCGGAGGGCCGCTCGGCGTGCACACCCTTTGAGCACTCTGCGGCCTTGAGCCTCCGCGTCACCCTCCTCCTCCACTCCACCTCGATCCTCGAACCTAACTAACCTATCTCGTTCCTCGTTCCTCGTTCCTCTTTCCTCGTTCCTTTTCCTCGCTCCTCGTTCCTCCTCCTCCTCCTCCTCCTCCGAACATCTGGTTCTCGATGCTCCGCTTGAGGCCCGTTTGCGCAGGCGCTCGCCCGGGCCCGATCTCCAGGTCAGAGAGGGATTGCTGGGAGCGGCAGAGGAAGAAGGTCTCCATCCGTCCCCCCCCAGGGCCCAACCCGCCGGCCACCCGGAATAATCCCATCCCATGGGCTTTCAATCCAAGATGCGCAACGGTCCCGAGACGGCCCGAGAAAGCATCGAGACGTCCCGACATACCCCCCGACGCGGCCCAAGAGAGCTTCAAGAGACCTTCCAGGAAAGCCAGGAGATGTCCACACCATGTTGTTTGTTGCTGTTTGGAGAACTCTCGTGTTCTCACCTTTTCGGGCTTCCGACAACCGAAGACGGCCCCTCAGGCCTCCACGGAAGTCTTGAAACAGCCCCGGAAACCACACCAAACAATCCCAAGACGAACCAAGAGGGCCTCCGAACCGGCCAAGAGGGCCCCAAGATGACCCTGAAGCGAGCCAGTGAGGACGCCACCACGGCCTCCAAAGGCCAAAATGTCCCTCTGAGGCCGCGGTGGGGCATCAAAGAAACCACAAGATGGGTCGATGATGCCTTTTCCTCCCCCTCCTCCCCCTCCTCCTTCTCCTCCTCCTCCTCCTCCTCCTCCTCCTTCTCGTCATCATCGTCATTATAACGTATTGCTCTGAATTAGTGACTCCTCCCTGACGCACCCCCAAACGTTTCGGGAGTTCAGGCTGGGCGTCCTGCGTAAGACTTCCACAACCTGTATCGTAATGCAGCTTGAAACTTGGAGCAGCTTCAAAGACGGGATGCGGGTCGTTCTCAACATGTGGATCTCGCCCGAACACCACGCGCATCCACGCCAAACGTTCGTAACAATTTCAAACATGATGGGCGTGTTTTGTTTTGCAAACGGGACTCCCGCCTCAGCGCCGAGCACATGTGTCTGAATGCTTTGCGACACTACCAACAATTGGATAGGGGCCGTTTTCAAGCTTTGGTTTTCGCCTAGCGCCGAGAGTATTCGTCTGCCATGTTGCAGCAACTTCAAATATGGAAGGCGGTTCCCATTAAGAATGCGGTTTTCGCCGTAGCGACGCGTACATGCTTCATCAAACGTTACATAAGTTGCAGGGACTCGTCCCCAAAATGGTGTCCCGTCGTTGTTTAGAATTGTCATGACGAAACAGCCACGCTGGTTCGCTGTGTTGAAACTCAAAGAATTGCGTGCAGCTGCAATTTAGGACTCTACAACTACGTTGATCCCTGGTGTTGATGAAGCCTAAGGAGCCGTGTTTTGACACAACATGAGGGTTATCAGGCGGCTGGTTCCAATGGTGCACGTCCCACGATCGAAGCATGTTTGCAGGGGGCTTAAGAAGAGAGAGTTTGGAGAAAGGGTTGCTTGCAACAACGTTGGTGCGTCTTCCACTCGATCTTTCCTGACTTTAACTCATACGACGCTGGACTGTGGGATGCTTGCGCACTCGTGACCGCACTCTGGTCCCCTTGCTGCTGCGCACTCCGAATCTGCAAATTAAGAAAGCACACGAAAAATCATGAGATGTGCAGACACAACAAATTAACACATTCGGCGGCGGGGCCCGCTCCATCTGCAGGAGGCCTCGTGGGCAACGACCCCCACCCCCGAACAGTCCCTCGAGGCGGTGGCGGCATAACTGAATCCGCGCACCGACGTGACAGCAGATTCGGCGGACCGAAAAATGACAGCGTCGGTTTGGTCATTTTTTTGTAGGCGGTGGCGGCACAGCGTGCATGCTGACTCCTTTCTTCCGCACCCATTGCAAGGAGACAAATCGGCCTGGCCTTGCGCTCTCCGTCCTCCTCCTCCTCCTCCACCTCGACCTCCTCCTCCTCAACCTCCTCCTTCTCCTCCCCCACGTCATCAACACCGTTCCAATTGTCCCCGTCCGTGGCCCCGGTCTCGCCTCCTCTACTATTTTTGGTTTTGGTATATTCCCGTCGGCAACGAAGCAAACACAACAACGCAGGGCCCGTTAAACGCGACCCGAGGGCGCAACGCTCCGTACACCCTCAGCGATGGCTGGGCGGCGAACGCACACTATGGTACCGGTTCTCTGACTAAGCAACATGCTGAAGTGCGTTGCGTGCAAACATTGTTTTTTCTTGTTAAATCATACGGAAGAGGCGGACGAGGAGGAGGAGGATGACGGCGAAGAAAGGAACGATAGCAACAACACAGCGACGAGGGACTCTTCATCGAAACCAAGTCGACGCAAGCAGAGGAATGATATTGGACTGACGAAAGTGTACCCCCGATCTGCGGAACCCAATCTTTGGCGCACCATCGGGAAACACATTGGGGCCCAGCACCAAGCAACCATACAAGGCTGTCTGCATGATGCTTCCTCGCTGGGGCAGGCCAACACCTGCGGCGCCCAATTCCCCGCGGACAAAGGAGGCCCGGGGCCAACAAGGCCATGCAACAGCAGAACCCGATCCATGGCGGACTATCGGAGGCCAGAGGGGGGGCACGGAGGCATAATCTCGGAGCCTGGGGCGCCTGCTGACCCCAGGCCGACGAGACAAGAGGTGCGAGCGCGAGTGCAAGGCGGGCTGCATTTTGCGACATCTACAAGCCTGCGCCACGAATTTCCAAGCTTCAGCCGAAACCGCCAACAAACTCTATACATGAAGAACAAATAAAGAGGATGAGGAGGAGGAGGAGGAGGAAGAGGAGGAGAAGGAGAAGGAGAAACAAAACGGGAGGGAAGAGATAGCGTTCTGGAACCCGCGCGCTCACTTGAACGTTCCGCACGTGAGAGAGTCGATCTTGCCGCCGACGTCCAGACTCGGCTGGCTGGGATGGAAGCGTCCTTCAGATCCGTCATGAAGTCCGAAACCAGCGTGTTTTCGTAGTCGAGCTCGCCGAGCATGGTGCCGATTGTCGAGCCCTTGGCCACAACGAAGGGGCATCCAGCGATAAATTCGCAAAGCTCCAGGGCGATGGCGGCCTGGCGCGTCTTGATGTAGACGATGGCGAGCCTCTCCACGAGGTATTTTGCGTTGTCCGCGGCCTCTTACCCGACCCGAGGTCGGAGGCTTCGATGTCGAACAGCATGGGCAGCTGGTGCGAGTTCAAGCACGTACAGCGGCAGCATAGGAGTCCAAGATGACTTCTGGGGGCTGGTCGTATGTCCCATTTGGTTTGATCGTCTTGGCATCCGCCGTCTTTGCCTTTTCTTTCTGCGCGGACAACTTGCCGTCCTCGGAGATGAGGGCGAATGGGTGGTCGTCTGTATCGTCGATGCCCGTGAAGGTCCGCGGCAGCGCGGTGGGGACCTGCGTCTCCTTCGACCACAATTTGATTTACTCGGCGAAGAATGCCCCGACCTTGTCAACCTCTCCCGACCGGAATGGGCCCCCGCGCTCGTCGCCAACTGCAGCG